TGTTGTATATGAGAAAAGACAGCATATTATTTCAGGTAGAACAGTACACCACTATGGTTATGCTGCTTCCAGTACCAAAGCAAGATCACTCAGAACTAGTGCCATGCAGAGATAGAGAACTGTATAGATACACCCTCAAAGGAGGCTAGAAGTGGTCAGTTCACCTCCATGAAAGGGAAGGAAACATCCCAAGGATGCCAATACGGACTGAGACAATAGCTGGCAGATGTGCAAACAGCTGTAGTCATCTCTACTGGGTGTTCCCATTGCCTCATCCATGGTTGTGCCTGTTTGCAGAGCCTGAAAGACTTAGCTTGCTATGCCTACTGCCAACTGGAAAGATTTCAAGAAGCCTATCCTACACTGGTTAGAATTTTTTGCTGCCTTTTACTGTACCGTTTTCACAATGCTAATTAACCCCTCCAATGTCATGCTTGTCCCAGACCACTCTGTGGACCTTCTGTCCTAGACAGTGTAGCTCACCAGCTGTCACAGGGTAGGAGTTGGGTAGATAACATGGGTGTGCTGAACCTCTTCAACTTCCAGAAGGAGACGAGTCCAAAAGGAATTCAAGCCCCAGTGCAGGTTAAGTACACTAATACGTTCATGGACACAAATGACCTTGGTGGAGGATGTAAACTCATTGTCCTTCAGCCCTAAAGACAACACATATTCCCTTAAAACACTAAGTGACCATATTCTCAGTTGTGAATGATGCACCAGTTTGGGGAAGCAAATCTCTCAAACAGAGAGATGCCTTATGTACCTGCAAGTACTCCAGCACTCCTCTCTAAATTCATGCTTGGTACTACTTAATAACTGATCACAGGGGCAATTTGTGATAAGACTTTCATAAAGGTCAGAGCCTTACTTTTTTTTTTTTTTAGCACTGTACCAAAGTTTATAAGACACTGAAAATATTACGATCAGCTCATTTTATGGAGCTCATGGATTAGGAGCCCTGTAGTCCAATGATTCTTAGCTAGACTGCCATGGTACCCTGGGGTACCCTGAAATCATTTCAAGGGTGTTGCAGGGTGCCACACAATGTTTGCACACCTAGCACTGCTAACATGATTCATAAGATTAACGCAGAGATTTAAAATAGGAATCTACAACATTAAAATATTCTTACCTATTTTGGTCTTTCAGAGTTTTGGTCCTTCTGAGTTCTTGGCAACAGAAAAATATCTATTAGTTTTCACACAGTTTTTGACTACAAAAAAAATAAGAGCTGACATTTTCTAAGGGGTGTCTTGAGTCTAGAAATGTTGAGAATTACTGCCACACAGTCAAATGACCTAGTCTTGCTTTCCTTTGATCCCATCAAGTCCAGATGTTGAATAAATCACTGAGATGCATGAGCCACTACTGTATTACTCAAAATGTTTACCCTTCCTCTGATTAATGCTGCAACTCTTCACAATACCTCTAAAGTAAGGGCACAGGGATGGAACCCTTTGAAATACCAGCTCTTAAACAAAAAGCTTCATCTCAGGAGGATCCCTTCAGAATGCAGGTAAAGAGCAAGTACTGTGCACAATTTATCATCTAAAGACACTGTGAAGGATAGAACTGGAACCCTTTGTGCACAAGGACAGGTCAGGTTCAACCAATATGGCAGGTCACCTTGAACCAATCAGTTACTCTGTCAGGCTGCCTATCAAACCCCTGACATGCAACAGAGCCCTTGTCTTGCTATATAGGCACACTGACTTTAGTTAACTATTGAAAGACTATCTAACTTTACCCTCAGTAACTAGAAATATTGCTTCTCCAGAGGGACAACAAATACTAAACATTAGGCAAGATAAATTTGTAGATAAGTAATATCGGCTTAGGGAGAACTGAAGTGACTGTTTTGAGCCCAAAACTTCTGCTACGTTGAGTCTCAACCTGAACTGTAACAGCCATGCTGGTCTTCTTTAATGTTAACTGCCACCAACATTGGTCCCCATTCTCCCTCACCCCTTTCCCCACCCATGATCAAGATTAGAATTCTATCCCAGATGACCCAGTATATGCACTACTCAAATCCACAAGATTAATTATGGAACTTAATGCCTGATCAGTGTAAATTTGTGTTTCGTCTTCAAGAATCAATTTGGACAAGGAGGGAGAGAATGCAGGTCCATATATTTGTATGGGAAGACCTGTGATGCACATCTAAGAAACAAATGCATTTGTATGGGGAGGCCTGTGCTCTCTGGAAGAAGAGTAAGATCCATACTAGCTATGAATATGCTTAATATAGCTTTAAAGAAAGACACCTCTTACAGAAAATATTCATTAACTTGAAATAATAAATCAAGAATGCTAGTAAAAAAAATAACTAAAAATGTATGAGGGAAGAATGTGTGTGGGTGATATTCCTTCACTGGACCAAATGTGTGGTTGGGATAGCCTTATACAGGCTTTTGGATTTCAGAGTACCCTTCTAGAATTCAAGGTAATCTATCTGAATCTCTTTAAAATATACACAATCTCTAAAGAAAAATCTGCATATGAAAAATGTTAGTTTATTCAAATTTCTAAACTCCGGCTCTCCAACAACCCATAACATTATCATCCAAAAGGCAAATTTAAAATATCAATTTCAGTACGTAAATCTTCAATCATGATTACCTGAGCCCCTAACAACTATGAAACATTCTGGACTGGACACTCTGCTCTGCTTCCAACCTGTACAAAACACAGCCGCTAAAATCTGCCTCAGCTTATGCAACAAGCATCACAGGCTTCTTCTGAATCTCTCCACTGCCACCTGCCCTCCAGTTAAAGGACAAGAAAGTGTGAATTTCCTGTCTTCCTTTTCAAAATCCTTGACAACTCCGCCCCTCCCTACTTGCCCACTCATTTCTTAGGGCAGAGTCCCATTTACTCACCTTGGCTAACAATGCCAGTTTTATCTTCCTGTTCCTAAGCTTCCGACAAACATTTTCTTCCTTCTTTCCCT